CCTAATGTAGGTGACAGGGCGATGGATGCAGCAAACCACCACCATGGCACGTAAATACCTGTGTAACAAACCTGCACGATCTGCACGTGTACCCCAAAACTTAAAGTATAATAAATAAATAAATAAATGAAGGACCTGAGGAAAGTCCATCTTCTCAACAGCAGCATGTGAGAGTTTGTGCCACACGTGTGAAGCCTCCAGTATCTGAAACCTGCAAATAATCAGGTTGGTCTTTTAACTTCCTTTTCCCTCTAGGATAAAAAGCAAACACAACAATAATTAGGTGAGTTTAGGCATTTATTAAAAGGATGAAAGTCTGCCTTATACACTGAGATCATAGACATGGAGAATCTCCCTTTTTACATTCCACGACACATCTGTACATTTGGAAAAGTCACTTTTTCCAATTTTTTCATTTTTCTTTCTTTTTGATAGTGACATTCATGTCACATCCTTTTAAAATATTTACCAAGTCACCAGTTTGGGTGGATAACTGTGCAGGGTGCTAGGAGTACAAAAAAATAAATGAAAGGCAGCCCCTCAACTCCCCCACCATACACTTTTAAGGAGCTCAAATATTTGCCCAGGGAGGTTGGTGCTGGGAAAGTCATCTCCTTGTTGGGCCAGCAGGGTCTTTGAGACCTCCTGGTCCACTCAGGTCTGTTTACGGATGTCCAACCATAGGGCCTTTCTTGAGACCTCCTGGTGAGTTATCGAGGAGTTGGTGCTTGGCCTAAGCCTCTCAGTGCCATGTTCTTCCTATTTATTAGGTCATGTGCCTTGCTCACCTCAAATTTTCCTGTGATCCCAGGTCATCGAATAAGCCCAATTTTCACATGCTGCAGAATGGATGTGCGAGGCAGGTGCACAGACACATAGAAGAATGGACCTTGACCAAGATGGACACCAGAAGCTTTTCCAGTTACTTCCACAGCAACAAGAATGCCCCTTTCCAGGTGCAACTCCCTTTGGAAGCATCTTAATTATTCTTGGCTCCATGCGAAGAACTCCCAGTCCTCTTCCTGGAAACGTTAGCACCTTGGTGTTGAGGGTTAACTTTTGCTACAGAAGTGGACAGAATGCCATCTGCTAGTTTGAGGATGACGAAAGGCCTTTCAAAGAGAATCAGCTGGAGAAGATAAGTAGAAGTTTCAACGAGACAGGAATGTTCTCTCATCACATGACTAAACAGAGGAATAGACACAGGATTGGGCTGATACTAGATTGAAGTAAAATCAGCTCCAGCGGCTGCATCTTTCTCTGGCTGTTGCTTTACTTGGCAACGTGCAGGGTGCATCTCTTTGAACTGTCATCAGTCACCTTCCTGGATTGTGACAGAACCAACTCTCACTCTGGATGGGGAAACAGATGTGGAGGGGTTGTTGGCACGCTGCAGGGGTGTAGTGGATTTGTGTCTTACCAAGTGTGAGCAGTGGTTGTGTAGAGGACTACGCTTCCACTCAGGGTGAGGGGCCTGGTTTTCTGTACCTGGATGTCGAATCAGGACACCACACTATCATTGTACCATCTAGGAAGTTACGCCTTTGTAAAACACTTATACTTTCAGCTCTAGAAACAGGAAGCATCTTTTAAATAGCCTGCTAAAACTTTTCTTCCTAGATTTGCAAGAGGACGTCCCTTCTATTTAGTGAGGTGCTCACCCTTAGGGAAACCTCAGAGGATGAAAGATTGAGGCAAACATTGAATTAATTGCTTGAGAGTAAAACCCTTGCATTCACACACAGCATGATTGGGAATGCCATTGTTCCTTTGGCTGTGACACCCTCTGATGCCCAGGTGGGCATGGTGACCCACCTAGGTTGCAGTGTGGTTCAGGACCGCTGTCCCCAAGGACTCTTGGAGCACCCCTTGCCCTTGCTGCCACCACACCTATGAATGTACATGGCAGGTATTTTCTTCTCCATGGAAAGATGATCTCCTAGAAGCAGAGTGCAGTGCTCTCTGGGAGATCCAGTGCTGAAGATGATAAACATTATCTTTTCTTCTTACAGTAGGGTTGAAGTTTCTGGGACACAAAGGGCTTTCTGGCTTTGTCAAGCTACTCTTGAGAGATGAAACAGGCTCCCCTTGCCAAGTGCTCAAAGTCACTTTTCCCACGTTTTCCATTTTTCTTTTTGATAGTGAGAGATTGAAAAGAGAGAGAAAGAAAAGAAATACCATTCCCACCAAATTGCAAAAAGTTTGTGAGTCTAAGCTGTGACTTGTCCCTCTGGGGAGTTGGGGAGGGAGCTGGTGCTGCCCGTGTCTGTTTTGTGCTTGTTAAGGATTGCAGAAAACCTGGCATTTTTCTTTCTTGTGAGTTACCAAGTCAGCCTGTCTCAGTTTCATAGATGCCAGCAGAAGGCACGAGACTCTTGGGTCAGAGATTGAGGATATTATTACTCAAGGTACAGCAATGAGTGTGAGAGCCGTATTCCCACCAGCTCCACACCCTGGCAGGGCTTGTGGGGTGCTGCAGAGCAGTCCAGGTAGATGCTGTGCATGCAGTGGGCTTGTGTAGTAGCTGAGGAGCTCTAAGCTTAGGAAACTCCAAACTGTTTTTTTTTTCCCTGTCAACAAATACGTACAAGATGCCTATTGTGTGCCAGGGACTTTTCTAAAAACAAGTAAACAAAACAAAGAATTCTGTTCTCATGAAGCTGACATTCTAGAGGAAAGACAGATAATGAAGAATAACCATTAATCAATTCTAGAGTAAGCTAGTTGATAAAGGTATGGACAAGAGCTAAAGCAGATATGGGGGGCAGGATTCCTGCGGGAGTTGTGGCATTAAATAGGATGCTCACGGAGGCCCTCATTGAAAAGATGAACTTGGACTGAAGATGAAAGAGCTGAAGGAGGCTGCCCCAGACCATCCAGATTCTAGTCAGAGATCAGCAAGGCCATGGCTGCTGATTGGCTGTGTCTAATGCCTACGAAACTTTGGAAGGGGACTGCTGGTACACTTGCCCAAATTTTGCCTCAGATAGAGACATTATTTTTATTGTCTAGGTCAGCCAACAAATATACCTTCTGCCCAAGAAGGAGACACTATCTCTATCTTCCAAGGCTATCTGCTATGCAAGCATTCTTGAAAAAACAGTACAGAACAGAAGCCATCAAGGGCTCTGCTTGGGAGACATGCACAAATGCAAGGGACCCACAGGGTACGGCTCCCAACAGGTCCACCCACTTCCATGATTGGTGGCACTCGGGTGACCCAAGTTAGCATCAGGCCCATCCAGTCTGCAGCCCCTGCTTGCTGGGGTTGGAGGGAGGGACTCGGTGAGGATCCTGTCCACAGTTGCCACCTGACCCTGCTGTAGCTCTGGCTTGTCAGTGCCACATACTCTTTAGGCTACTCAATGACCCTGCCATCATGAGTCTTCCCCTCAAGCGAACAAATATCTCACAGCAAACAGACACAGCTTTTGTGCAGGCCTGAAGATTCCTTCATGGCTTAAACTCTCATTAGGGATTACAACAGCTTGGTTTCCAAGATCTGCAGAAAATCTTTCCTTCACTCTAGCCACACTCTGCTGCCTCTGATGGAGGCACCCACCCAACATGGGCCTTGGGTGCCCTGGATATTAAACTGAGGATATTTTAGTTTTTCCAGGTGCTCTTAAGAGAGCTGACATACTCTCTAAGCCACATTCTTGGGAAAGTTGAAAGAGGGGCCAGTCGTGGTGGCTCACGCCTGTAATCCCAGCACTTTGGGAGGCTGAGGCGGGTAGATCACCTGAGGTCAGCAGTTCGAGACCAGCCTGGCCAACATGGTGAAACCCCATCTTTACCAAAAGTACAAAAATTAGCTGGGCATGGTGGTGCACACCTGTAATCCCAGCTACTTGGAAGGCTGAGCGGGAGAATAACTTGAACTTGAGAGGCGGAAGTTGCAGTGAGCCGAGATCATGCCACTGCCCTCCAGCCTGGACAACAACAGTGAAACTCTGTCTCAAAAAAAAAAAAAGAAAAGAAAAGAAAAGAAAAGAAAGTTGAAAGAGGACTTTTATGGATACTTTTATGGACATACTATTAGGTTCTTTTGAACCTTTGGTGGGTAGGTGGCCTATAACACACTAGTCCTTTGGTTCCCAGTCTTATGCCAGCTCCAGAAGGCTGGGTGTTATTGCTAGAAATTGATTCATAGAGTTCCAGAGCTTCTCTAGAAGGCCTCAACCATGTCCTTAAAAATAGCATAAAACTTTTGGCATTTGAGTGATTCAGGGATCATGATACCAGGCCAGAGGGACCTTAACTGAGTGGTGATCTCCTGCTTGTTTAAAGAACAACTTAAGAAGCAGTGTGTTTTCGGTGTCTTAAGATAGTATCAAGGGTCTCTGCAGCAAGGGCCCAGAGACGATGGGTGGAATAAAAGCTTACCTGGTCCAGCTGGTGACCAGCTTCATGTTACGGCACTGTCCATCTTTTCCCATCTCAACTTTTCCACCGTCTTCTCTTCATGGGTAGACGTGGTGGACATGGATGCAAGACAGCAGTCATCAGGCAGTTGTGAATGACATGGAAACATCAGGCTCCCGGAGACGTGCTGAGTGCTGAGTGCTGCGTGGCTTACTGGCTGTGTATTAAAAGAAGGCCTTGCTCAGTTCAGGAGGGTGGGCATTTTTCAGGTTGCCAGCCAGATGGATGCTGAGGAAGAAACCCAGTCCACTGACCCAGTAGCTATTGTCCAGGTACCCTATAGATATTGACCAGAGGATAGAGAATTTATTTGAGTTTCATCGTTTTAACATAGAATAATCTGTGTGCAGACTTGGGCTAATACGATTATTTCCACAAAACAAATCAGACAGGTAGAGGTCCAGAGGATAATTATTATTACTGTCAATAACAGTCTTTTTAGTACACATTACTGTAATAGACCCCTATCTGAGAGGGAAGGAGGTGATCTTTTGAGACAATTGTATGTTAAACTAATTTTAATGAATATTTTTAAGGCAGGAGTCTTTGAAAGCAATCCATTCTAGAAGCAGACATAATGTAGAATTTTTTTTTTTATTTTTGTACAGCTTGAGAGAAAAATGTTAAAAAGATAAACTTCTAAGTTTGGGGAATATAGAAGTTTTAGGTTGATGAAAGATAGACTTTTAATTGTTTTCCCCCAGAAAGTAGCATTTCATTTCTTTTGCATAAGAAAAAAAAACCATCTGTGAGTATATAAATAGTACACATCAACACGGATTAAATCCTGAAACCATGAATGTACATCTCACATTCATGGAGCCATCTAACACTAGTGCCAGCAGGTGGTCTTGACATGGTCCTGGACCCATTCTGTGTCACTGAATCTAAGCAGGCAAATGGGCCTGCCTGGAAAATAAATAGAAGGAAGAAAGGATGGGGAAGAAGGAGGGTAGGAGGGAGAGAAAGAAAGACATTTCTGAATACTTTCCCAAGATGGTAATAACTGGCACCAGTCTATGTTGGTGGCCTTAATGGAAGCCTGTAGAGAATCTTCGGCCTGGGAGACTGAGCAGCTATGAAGGTTTGATCAGGATTTCTGGTTAATGACACATCCCTGACATGAAGACCTGGTTATCTTTCCCTTTGATGGAAGTGAGCCTGGAATGGAGGCTGGAGCCAGGGGAGGATTACATACTCTTTCAAAAGCACACCGTGTGAAGGTTATGGGATAGAGAATGCAGTTCAGACTATTTATGAGTAAATTCTTTCTTAGGATGAGCCACATGGGAGATAAGCTGAAAGGAAACTAAAAACTTAGATTTTAGAGGAACATTACTTTCCTCTGGTTACAGAGTAGTGCACTGGTGGCAATGTATATTGAGATGGTCTATCGCAAATTTGGATGCCAAGCATGGTGGAGATAGGAAAAGTCATGAGGGTAGGATGCACCATCTTGCTCCTTCTCACGCACGCTGGGGCTGCCTGTCAGGCTCCAGAGCAGGGTTTGGCAAACGTTTCCTGTAATGGGCCAGGAAATAAATATTTCAGGTTTCATGGGCTATGCCATGTCTATTGCAACTATTCAGCTCTACCATTGTGCCATGAAAGTAGCCATAGACAATAGCAAATAGTGTATATGGCCTTGTTTCAATAAAACTTTATTTAAAAAAACAGCAGGAGGCTGGATTTGGCCCATAGGCCACAGGCAGTTGAACCCTTGCTGTGGGCAGGGGGCTTCGAATACTTGGACCGCCCTGGTTGCGGTGGAGGCCCGTCTGCATTTTGTCTTCTCCAGCTTGAGAGCAGGAGCTGCACCTTCTTTGTGCTTCCCGGAGATTCCTGAGGAGTTCAGGGTGTTAGTATTGACTCTGGTTTATTGACCTGGGCTCTGGGTTCAGGCCTGGTATTCCAAACAGAAGTACCAGTTGCAGGACTAGGCCATTGGTAGAAGAAGACGAGAGAAGTAGACATGGAAATAAAGGCAGACAACCTTTTCTTTTTTATTTCGCTTAGACAAAATGCAAAGAGTGTCTCATTAAATTAAAAAAGAAACAAAAAAGAAAACCAAATTGATTCCCCCCACCCCTTCACTGACGGCACTCATCCTAATTAACAACAAAAGAAGACCAAATTGAGAACCCAGTTTCTAATGGGAAAGAAAGGTGTGCAAAGGTGACTGAGGTTTTCCCCTGCCCACAAATCGGTGTTCCTTTTAAATTCACAAATAGGCTAATTTCCCCCCACCCTGTTTTCTTTCTTGCCTCTTGTGTGATAGAACTTCCAGTCAGAAGGTTTAATTAATCCCCCCATGCACTTTTGTAGAAAATCAGTAAAAATGCAGTAGCCTGTGAAGATCATAAAACTGGACTTCTTTCCCAAAAAATCAGATGCCCAGGCGGATGGAGCTCACACTCAGACAGAAAAAAAGCAGGAGAGTCTTTGCACTGTCTGTGGTTTCAGTATTTTCTCTTTTTTTTTTTTAATATATTTTGGCAATTTTCTTTAATTATAAATATTGGAATTCCGTAAAAAAAAGGTAGCTTTGATTGAATTGTTTGAATTGTATTTACAACCGCGGTCCAGTCATGCTGTCTGTTATACCAGGGTGTAAGATTTTGCGTAAGGATTGTTTCCTTTCAAATGGCCCCGGGAGTCGAGCAGTGATTCTTGGGAGCTGCTCATTTTAGCTGCCTGTCCCAGCTCTGCCCCCTCCCGCTGAGGTAATGTGGCCACGGCCCCCGCCTGCCACGACTGTCCTTCTCTCGTGGAGGAGGCGGAGGAGGCGGCTTCCATCGGGATGGGCTCCAGGACCGTGGGGCGCTTCAGGGTCCGGCTTTTCTGAGGTTCCAAGCACGCTTGTCCTAAGCTCAGGTCCCTGCTGGTGCCTGGACCACCTCGGTTTAACAAAAAGTCCATTCTAAGGTATGGAGGCAAATGTATGAGGTCACCTAGAAAGAAAGAAAGGGCAGTTAGTGGGTGTCTTCATTTGGTAAACGGGCAGAATGCCCGTGGGAGGCCACGTGGGGTTTAGAGATGAGAATGCCGCTGCACTTGGGCTCCTTTCTCAAGATACTCCATCAGTGCTCACCACAAAGACAGGTGGAATCATCCTCATACCTCTTCGCTGGGCACGGGAAGAGCTTATTTTCCTACAGTACGTTAACTTACTTGTACATAAATGGAGGAAGGGAGGTAACAGAATCCTTCAAAACATCATTGAAAGAAAAACATACATCAAAGGCAACAGTGTCCACTGGGGATGAACTGTGATGGACCAAATACCACATGTGATTGGAAGTACAGGGAAAGCACAAGGTTTGGGGAGAGAGCCAGGGACACTAAGGGAAGAAGGATGGACAGCTGCCTCTCGTCCTGGCAAGTCTATAAAACCTTGTGAGCTTGGCTAGCCACTTAGTTATGGGTCTCTATGATGGCTTTTCATGGAAGTGCCACAGCTTATGGCCTTACCAGGCCCTGCCTACCTGCTAACCTTTTCCATGTGGCTCTTCTGTTTCAGCCGTGCTCTGTATAGAGATGACAACAGCTTAGACCAGAGTACTAGTGTTTCTACTCCCTTCTCAAGGTCATTCTGTCTTCTGTGGTGCCGTGGAAACATAACCTCAGGTCTCCTTCAAGAGCACATGCTGGCCGGGTGTGGTGGCTCATGCCTGTAATGCCAGCACTTTGGGAGGCCGAGGTGGGAGGATCACCTGAGGTCAAGAGTTCAAGAACAGCCAGGCCAACATGGTGAAACCCTGTCTCTACTAAAAACAAAAAATAGCCAGGTGTGGTGGTGGGCGCCTGTAGTCTCAGCTACTGGGGAGGGTGAGGGAAAAGAGTTGCTTGAACCCGGGATGCAGAGATTGTAGCGAGCCCAGATTATGCCACTGCACTCCAACCTGGGTGACAGAGCAAGACTCAAAAAAAAACCAAAAAACAAAAACAAACAAACAAAACAAAAACAAAAACAAAAACAAAAACAAAAAACCAAACCACACCAAACCAAAAAATCCAAGAGCATCTGCCGCAAGGAGGTACCTTTTCTCTGAGATGCTGTGAGCCAGTGACGTGCATGGCAGGGTTTTCCTCATGGCCCTCCCTGCCCAGTACAGGATCCCCCTAACAGGGATCCTTTGTTCAGGGATGCCCCATCGGCCTCACTGCAGCCTTCTCAGAGGTGCACTGCAGCCTGAGGTGCCTCTGACCCAATCCCTCCTTCCCCTTCTCCTTTCACAGGTGTCAGAACTCTGTTATGGTCCCCAGACTCTCCCCACCACCTCCTGCTTTCTCTTGCTTCCTTCTTCACAAGAATTTCCCCAATAAATTCCTTGCATGTCTAATCTGTCTTGATAGGCACTTCTCAGAAAACCTGAACTGACACAGCTTCTTTCACCATCAACTACTGAAAGGTCAACTCTGACCTCTCATTGCCAAATTCTCTGGTTTCCCCTTGGTCCCTTTCTACCTGCATTACAATGACATTTGATGCTGTGGCCCTCTCAGCTGCCATGGCACTGTGGTCTTCCAGATCTCTTCCTACACCTCTGGACACCCCTTCTCACTTTCCTTGACTGGATCCTTTTCTCTGTCTTTCCTCTAAATACTGTGTTCCCAGTGGCCTGCTCTCAGTCCTCTCTTGAAAGGTTTGGCTGCTTTCCTCATCTCTTTATAAGGAGCTTTCCCATCTATCTTTTCCATTTTGCTTTCTCCTGAGCCCTAGATGTGAATTTCAGGTGCTTTACTAGGCATTTCCACACAAATGTCCATCTGGAATTCTGAATGCCAAGTCTACCAATTCAGTTCATGAAGGCCAACCCCATCCCCTCCCAATCCCAAATGCTGCTTCTCTCCTTTGTGCTCCATCTTGTGTAATGCTATCACCATCTCTCCATCCTTGAAACCTCAGAGGCTTCACTGACACCTTTCTCTCCAGGCTAATTCTACTTGCAAAATATCTGTTGACTCCTTTCTTATTTTATTTTTTTAAAGAGAGATAGAATCTTGCTCTGTTGCCCAGGCTGGAGTGCAATGATGCATTCATGGCTCACTGTAGCCTCAAAATCCTGGGCTCAAGCAATCCTCCTACCTCAGCCTCCAGAGTAGCTAGGGCTGCAGACACACACCACCATGCCTGGCTAATTATTATTATTTAAAAAATGTTTTGGAGAGACAGGGTCTTGTTTGGTTGCCGAGGTTGGTCTCAAAGTCTTGGCCTCAAGCGATGCTGCTGCCTCAGCTTCTCAAAGCTCTGGGATTACAGGCATTACACCTGGCCTTGACTCCTTCTCATTCCCATCTTCAGGTCCCTGTTTTGAGGCTTTAATACATCCCATTATCACCTTGCAGTGCATGAGCACAGTTAGGGCTCAGCCACCAGGTCCACTTTGCAACCAACACTGCATGGCTTGAGCTGGACTGACCCTGGCTCTGAGTCTCAGCTGTTTTGGTATAGGCAGTGTGCATTCTCCAGCCCACTGCTTCCCACTTTTCTCTCTTTGAGGTATACGCAGACAAGGGGCATTTGTGCAGAACACTGGGATGAGGCCAAGAAGCTGTTTCTGGCCAGCTTGAGTTCTGAGGGACTCACTGTCTTGCACGCCTATAACCCATGACATACCAGGTGCAAAACTCTGGCTAGAGAATGGGTTGGTGGTATGTGGTCCTGGAGCAAGTACCCAGGGAAGAGGATGTGCAGGGAGAAAGATATGATGATGATCTCAGCTCAGGAGCAGCTGGAGGATGTAAGAGAGGGAAGTAAATTGTGAGATACAAACGGGGCCCAAGGAAGGCAGCTTCAGAGTCAATGACAAGTGGGAGTGGTGAGAGAGGAGAAGGGCTTAGGGGTGACTCCTTCCCAGGCTCTCATCTTGGGAAACCACAGGGATGGTGAAACCACTAACTGTGAAAGGGTGTATAGGGAAAAGATCATACTTTGGTGACAAAAGATGAAGGGTTTAGTTTCAGACCTGTTGGGTTTGATGCCGCTGGGGACATTCAAGACAAGACGTCTAGTAGGTATGTTTATCATAGAAACGTAGCTCTAGGATGGCTCACTGATCACTTTCTGAATCTAAAGTAACCGAACATTCCCGTTTCTTTTGCTTCAGAGTATTCCCTGCTTTCCTTATTTTACTGTATGCTAACAGTAGTAAATTGAACCTTCCTCATACAGCTCCTTTGGGCCCGTGGGCTCCGAAGGGGCAGGCTAAGGGGATCTGAGACCACCTGAACCAAACAAGGGTTGCCGTTAGCCAGCTGCATACTCGCAGGACAATGGAAGTGACGCGTGTTTAGACAGTGTTTAAAGCCTGAACGTTAGGAAATGCCATCAAGTTTACCCACGGAAAAAGAATAACCAGCATAACAGAACAAAAGGACTACTCAAGGGCTTAAGGGAACTGGCCTGTAATCTGAGCACTTTGGGAGGCCGAGGTGGGCGGATCACCTGAGTCAGGAGTTTGAGACCAGCCAGGCCAACATGGCAAAACCCAGTCTCTACAAAAATTAGCTGGATGTGGTGGTGTGTGCCTGTAATCCTAGCTACTTGGGATGCCGAGGCAGGAGAATCTCTTGAACCTGGGAGTTGGAGGTTGCTGCACCACTGCCCTCCAGTCTGGGAAACAAGAGTGAAACTCCATCTCAAAAACAAAATAAAATAAAAAACAGCATAAGAGAACTGAAAATAAATATGACCAAGACAAGCCCTAAAAATGCATTTTACACGATTTAAATGAGCATACAAATTTTCAAAATGCTATTATCCTTCTTGAAATTTCTTTTTTCCCCAAACAACAGGAGCAATGACCTTATCCTTGGAAAATCTACCAAATGATTTCCTTGTCCTTATGTTATTACATTATTGTACCACTTGGTATTTATGATTCAAAATTCTATTTAGCTTTTTCAGGATGTCTTTATTCTATTAAGTGATGATGAGTAATTATATGATTTCATTGGGAATGGCAGCATGTAATTCACTAAATGACCCCAGCGACACTGGACTGGGCTCACTGAAATTAAAGGCATTATAATTCAACATTGGCTTCCCATCATCAGCTGGATCCAAGGGAAACCCAGTAGTAGATACCTAGACAGTAAATGAGCCAAACATTCTTATAGGAAGAAATTACATAATTTGGCAATCTTGTAAAAAGGGTTTTGGTAACTTGATGCATCTGAACTTTGGCTTAGAAAAATATAATGGCATGGGGCCTACCTATTATAGACACTAACGTGGAAGGTTCAGGAATGTCTTGCCATACAGGATAGCTTTGTTCCTGAAAGATGGAACACATGGACACAGGGAGGGGAGCACTACACACTGGGGTCAGTTGGGGGGAAATAGGGGAGGGATGGTGGGGGGTGGGGAGCTGGGGAGAGGTAGCAGGGGGAGAAATGCCAGATGTAGGTAATGGGGAGGAAGGCAGCAAATCACACTGCCACGTGTGTACCTATGCAACAATTTTGCATGTTCTTCACATGTACCCCCAAACCTAAAATGCAATAAAATAAATAAATGGGAAAAAAATTTTATGAAACCTGATGGCACTGAAAATTACTTATGTTTGTTTATGGTGGTTAATACATTCTTCAGTCTTCTCTAACCAGGGGTTATTTGCAAAAAAAAAAAGAAAAATGTGATGAAAGCATTAACAGAGCTGTCATGAAGAAATAAATCGAAAAATTCTTTTGTAATGTGAACATCGTTTTGTATGTGAATCAATACACCTTAATTGACCAGTCTTGCAATTTATAGTTTTATAAATTCAACCTCCTGAAAGTGATTGTCTTTATTCCTAAGAATCTGATAAACAAATTATGTTAATTTTTCTTTATTCATTTATACAACTAATATCATTTTTATCATGTTGTTTGTATATTTGAGGAAATGCAACAGACATTTACCTCCAGGGTTCTTTAAAAATATAGGTCAAGAATGCCTCATGCA